GAATTGGCCAGCGTAACTTTCCTGTCCCAGCAAAAATAAAATGAGAAAGTCCTAACTAAAACAAAACACTACTGGCAATATTAATGGGAGTAATGTTGTTCTTCCATGTAAGGCCTTTGCAGGTATACAATTGTGAATACAAAAGTTTCATTTTGTGTGGCTGGTGTGGCTCAGTGGTTGAGTGAGCATCGACCCATGCACCAAGAGGTCGCTGGTTCAATTCCCGGTCAGGACACATGCCCAGGTTGTGGGCCTGATCCCCAGTGGGGGGCATGCAGGAGGTGGCCAATCGATGTTCTTTCTCATTGATGTTTCTGTCTCTCTCTCCCTCTCATTTTCTCTCTCTGTAAAATCAATATAAAGCAAAAAAGTTTTATTTTGTTAACATGGAGCTCAGGGACTTTTTAAGGATTTTGCATTAATTCTTCGGGGTGGTCCTATAGGCTCTTTCTACGTGGAGGAATATAGGCCAAGATCTATGCAAGGGAAGTTTATAATAGCCTTAGATATACACTTAAACATCTAAATTTAACAAATATTTTCCCAAATTGTTCACAGTTCACTAAGAATTGGCAAATTACAAGAACCTATTGTTTGACCCCACAGGCATCCTGATCTGTATATAAGTGAGCCCTTCTGTTCATGTCTTATTTCATGAACCAGCAACTAATTTTAGTACTTTTAGGAAAGTACATATTTTTTGCAGCAAACAAGATTCTGGATTTGAAAGGGACCTAGGAGGTCTCATGAAGGTGAAGGTCCACCCCTTCTCTGCTTGCACATTTCCAGTGACAAGACAGTTGATGTTTCTCAAGGGAATAGGCTTGTTACAGAGCAGACAGCAAGCTGTCTTACTGTGTATCCACCCACCCACCCATCCATCCACTCGTCAGATATTTACTCCTTACTGGACTGGGCAATGAAATCATTTCTCCTTGAGGTTATCTCATCAGTTTGATTACTAACTCCCCCTGATAACTCACCTAGAGAACAGAACAAAAGAACTTGGTAAAAATTTAACTTTTTCTCATTACAAAAACAATATGGCCCTGGCAGGTCGTTCATTTGGTTAGAGTGTCATCCCAATACGCAAAGGTTGCAGGTTCCATCTCTGGTCAGAGCACACACACAAATCAATCAATAAATGCATAAATAAGTGGAACAACAAATCAGTGTTTCTCTCTCTCCCTTCCTCTCTCTCTAAAAATCAATTTTAAAAAAGAGTGAATACTATAAATGAAAAAAAAAAAAAAGAACATAATCATTGAAAAAGTAGAAAACATAGCTAAACCAAAAACATAAAAAGCACCCATAATGCCATTAGCAAGATGGAGTCCTAAGTGGTCATTTTCACAGACTTCTTTCTTAGTGGGATAACCTTGGCCTCACTCCAAATCTCTGTGCAGCTGGACATCTGTTCCCTAAGGAACTTGTCCAACTTCATAGGTTCAAGGTAGTGTGGAACATACCATTCTTCCTCCAACTCCTGACCAAGCACAAGGAACTCACCTCAGACATAATGTGGGGGCTTACCTAGGAGAATCATCAGCCCATCCAACTAGTTCATGTGTCCTGAGAGCCTTCTTCCTTGCCAGGCAAACCAGTTAAAAGCCCGACAGAACTAATAACCCAACCTTGTGAATTAAACACACAAATCACCTTCCTTCCCCTCTTCGTGTCTACATTTAGAGGCTCCAAGCTATTCTTTTTTTTTTTTTTTTTTATCCTCACCCGAGGACATTTTTCGATATTTTGTTCAGATAGAGTGGGAGGGGGAGAGAGAGAGAGAGAAACATTGACGTGAAAGGGACACATCGAGAGGTTGCCACCCACATGACCCAACAAGGGCCGGGGACAAACTGCAACCGAAGTACGTGCCCTTAGCGGGAACCAAACCTGGGTCTCTGGACCGCAGGCCGATGCTCTAACCGCTGAGCCAAACCGGCCAGGGCTCCAAGCTATTCTTTAGCAAAATGGCTCATACTAACAATAGTAGCCCTTACAAATGCCAGGACAGTTCTAAGCACTGTGCAAATTATTTGTCTTTTTAAGTCTATCTGTCCTATTTCCTATTAGACTTTACAGGACCAATAGTTTATACCTCTCCAGGCAGGCCTGGTGCCTAACACAAATCCGTACAACTAATGGATGCTCAATAGTGCTATGGATGATGAGCAAATGTCTACACCCACCTCTAAGCTAAGCATCTGAATTCTGGCCTCTGAGGATGTTTTTGAAGTAGGAGGTCATTATGCACTCATTGTGGGCTCTGCAGCTGTTGAGTAAAAATAAGGGAAGGGGAACTGCATTTGGACACAACTTCTGCCCGTCTTCTTCCCCCATTTCCAAAGTTTTGATGGAAGACACTTCAGAGAACCAGTAGAAGTTGGGAAGGGGGAATGGACAGAAGCCAGAGTCAGCCTCCCTACAAATGAGATGGAGTTCCCTGCCCAGCCCACCATGTATGAAACTCTAGTAGATACAGAAGTCTTCCCTTCATCTCCTACCTACCCCCACACACTCAAGGGTGAACCCCTACACCCTCCAAGGTCTAAGGGCTATTTCTATAAACCTGCCACTGAGGGAAGCCACACTGGCAAGCAGTAAGAGAACATGGAGTAGAAACAACAAATAAGACTGGGAGACATAGCTGCCAAAACAAACCAAATGCACAAGGGCTGCCTGCCACCACCTCAGCTGGTCCCAGGCCAGGAGCGTAGACACAAGAACACATACGTGCAGGGAGACACATATTTCCATCCAGCTCCCTGCTGGCTCCTCTGCTACAGGGGAGCTACAGGGCAAGGGAGCCTTACAATCAAGATGATAGGGGAATGGGGGTAGAAGGGGGTGATAGGAATGTCTCCCATCTTGTCCCCCTCGAGTCTCCCCTGCTTCCTAGCCACTGGGTGACCCTGCAGCCTGAGAACATGTACTGCCTATTCATGAGTCCCCTTTGTATATCAACCCCTCTACCAGATATGCCCTCTCTCTCCTTTTTACCTGGCAAATTCCTATTCATCCTCCAAAATCCAGGTCAAAGGTGAAACCATCTTGGACCCTACCAGGAAGTTAGCATTTACTTCTCCACATTTCCATATCATGGCTTCTCTTACTTCTTTTATAATACACCTTCCTTATTCACAAAAACTGTGCATCCACCTTCCCAATTAAATGATGAGCTTCTTGAAGACAGTGGCCATTTTATACCCACTTTTGTATCCCCAGGGCCCAACCCAGGCCTTGGCTCACAGCAGGTACTCAGCACAAGTTTAGTTGTTTGAATGACTCCTTCTGTGAGGAGTTCGCTTTCCTGAGTTACTGGCAGTCACTTACCCAGCATCAAAGTCCCTCATCAACAGGAATACTGAAGCCAGAAGGGGTTTCAATAAATGAGAAGCCTGATTTTCAAAACCCAAACCAAACTACCTTCAAGCAAACTACAGCAAAATTAGGTTATGTTACTAACCTTTAAATCAGAGGCTTTCAAACTTGTGAGCTCGACCACAATAAAACACAATTTACATTCCTAGTACATATGTGTATATATAAACATATTGAGCCCTAGCCAGTTTTGTTCAGTGGTTATAGCGTCAGCCCATGAACCAGAGAGTCCTGGGTTCGGTTCCCGCTAAGGGCATGTACCTCGGTTGCGACTCCTCCCTGGCCCTGGTTTGGGTTGTGCAGGTGGCAACCAGTCGATGCGTCTCTCTCACGTCAATGTTTCTCTCTCTCTCTCTCTTTCTCCCTCCCACTCTATCTGAAGATAAATGCAAAAATGTCCTCGGGTGAGGATAAAAAAAAAAAAATTAAAAAAAGAAACATATTGATAGCCCAGTTGGTGTGGCTCACTGGTTGAGCGTCAACCCGTGCACCAAGAAGTCACCAGGTCAAATCCCACTCAGGGCACATGCCCAGGTTGTGGGCCTGATCCCCAGTGTAGGGCATGTAGGAGGCGGCCAATTGATGTTCTCTCTCATTGATGTTTCTATCTCTCTCTCCCTCAAATCAATAAAGAAAAAAAAATATTTTTTAAAAAGTTAAGAGAAAAAAACATTGATAACTGAAAAAGTCACAACAAAACTGCCATTTAGGTTGTACTTTCTTCTACTTGTTTTTTTTTAAATCCTCACCCAAGGACATTTTTTGCATTTATCTTCAGATAGAGCAGGAGGGAGAAAGGGGTAAGAGAGAGAAACATCAATGTGAGAGAGACACATCAACTGTTTGCCACCCACACAACCCCAACTAGAGCTAGGGACAAACCGCAACCAAGGTACATGCCCTTAGCGGGAACCAAACCCAGGATTCTCCAGTCCGAAGGCAGATGCTCTAACTGCCGAGCCAAACCGGCCAGGGCTCTACTTGCTTTTTAAATCTATGATCCAGTAAAATGATTTTGAGACCCACAAATGGATCACCAGCCACTCTGATAAACATTGCTTTAGATGATTAATTTGATAAACATGAGAAATCAGATCTTTCTAAAAATACCCAAACAAAAAAGTATTTATGTGCCCAATAATTCAGTGGGGAGGCTTTCCTTTCTCACTAGAGCAGCCCAGCCAGAAAGGTCTGAAAGGCTCTGGACCTTAGTTGCTTAGAATAATTTAGGCCCTGCCGGACCAGGAGGTGAATGAAGTCATGTGTCAGTTCCCACCACAAAGCCTGATACAAAAGAGACCCGTCTTTGCTTCCTTCATTTTTAAATCCTCACCTTTCCCGTGCCTGGGAACCTCTATCAGAGCTTGATGCTTCTGAGCATACAACTAACACAGCTGCATTCAGCAGGCAAGAATATAAACCTTATTCATTCAGCCTTCCTTTGAGAATGAGAAATTTTAAAGCAAACACTAGGTTGTCAGGCTTCTGCACTGTACTCAAGTTTATGTTACACTGTCCATAGTACGATGCACACTCTCTGTGAAAGCACTCAGTTTCCCCGCCTGTACCTAAATACTTGTCAAGTTTCCTACTCTTCTTTTCAGGTACACACAGCCTTTACACAGGAGAGAGGCAGTGACAGTGGGGTGGGTGGACACTAACACAGCTCAATACTTTTTATTGTCTAGGACAATGGTTGATTACAGACCACAAAAATTCAGGAAGGCCATTGCTTAGGCTCAACAAGAGACACTCTCCGCCTCTCAATTCAGAGTCCTCTGGTCTATGAGATGACAGGCGTTTCCTTACATGGCTCTAGCAGAAAGTCCACTACAGTACTCAGTACAATGAGAATCATACCTGAGCCTAGCTGAGGGTGACTGGATAAGGTGAGTCAGACTCATTTTAATTACTTGGGTGTGACCCTGAAAACTCGGATGTGGATGGCTGAATTGTTTCTGATTCGGGTCAGTGGCTCTCGTGTATCAGTCTCTGGTTCCAGCTCATCAACAAGCTCCACTGTGGAGGTATTGGCAGCCACCTGCAAGGACCCGAAGCTGCCTGCCTGCAGCTGTAGGGCAATGTTTATTGCACGATTGATGGCCAGGCCCAAGCCATGAATGTAGATCTCAGTGCATGCATTCTGACCCCGCGCCCCTCCGTCCAGCAGTTTCTGGCAGCGGGCCAGCTGGGCCTTAAAGTCAGTCTTCATGTTGACATAAATATCATTGGGCCTCCGAGGCAGGCGGTGGGGCAGTCGCTTCCGAAGGGTGTACTCCACTGGATCCAGCTCGGCCTCGATGGCCCCGCGGTGCTCTCGGTTTTCTGCCATGCTGCGTGCCCTGGCACGGAAAAAAGACAAGATCAGTGAGGGGTGACACGCGACTTCTCTTCCATTTCCAACCCATTTCCTGTCCAAAACGTGTAGCCAGGAGGGGGCGCACTCAATGCTCCTCTTCTGTTCTGGCCTCAGTCCCCGCCCATCAACCGAAGCTCCAGATTCTCCCACACTACCAGTTTTTAGTCCCTATTTATGTATCACATTGCCCCCAACCTCAGGCCCCTCCATCACCCCTTCCCTGGCTCTTCCGCACCTACTCTCACTGGTCCACAGTGGTCTTCACGCACAGTGCTCTCCACGTGCACGCGGCCCTCTCCCCTGCCAGGTCACTCACGTGTTGTGTCAATGGGCCTAATAGACCAGGGCCCCCAGACCCCAAGAAAGGAAGAGAAGGGTAGGGGCGCTCAATACGAATGCCGGATCACAGGCGATACAGGGCTTCTACAAGGGCTGAGTCCAGTGAAATCCACGTACGTACCGCCTTCCCGGCCTCCGTTCTCCCCGCCCCTTATTTTGAGCGCTCGCTCGCTCGCTCGCTCGAGCAACCACGCGAGGTGTTTGAGTAACGCGAGGCTTCCGGTAGTGATGGGGCCTACGGTGTGCGTACGCTTTGGAGGCGGGGCACAGTGGCAGGGGGCGGGCACCAAATCGAAACAGGGAGGACCCAGGTGGAGGGTCAGCTTCCCTAGGCCAGTCCAAGTTCCTGGCCCGCGGAGGGGTCCTAGGGTGGGGTGGGGGGGTGTGTGTGGCGGGGGGCGCCGTGGGGTATAAAGGCTATTATTCTAGGGACGTGGAGAATGTAGGTGAGGGTCTTGCAAAGGCAGCAGGGAGAGTAGGATCGCGAAGGACTCTGAAGACAAGTCTGGGCTCCTGCATCCATCACAGTTCCCCTGGTCATAGGAGGCGTGACAGAGTTGACAGAGCTGACCTCCCGCCCAAAGTCCCTGTTGCCCAAAGATGGAGGGGGGCATTGAGTGGCGAAATGTGGCCCTAGACAGAGGACAGCGTCCCTGGACTCCCCTGCAGTTCATGGGGACTTGTCCCTCTCCCCTACCTCTTGCCAGGCTGACCCCAGGCCCGCCCTTGGGCATCCAAGCTATGAGACTCAGGTTTCACGACTCCCTGGGGGTACCTTGACCACCCACACCCCTCAACTATCACCTACACCCCTCAACTATCACCTACCAGTTCTTTAGTGGCTCCCGGCTACGTGGGAGGAGGAACATGCGCCCCCTAGCGCGCAAGGCAACGTGAAGCACTGGTGGTGGTGGGGTTTCTGGCTCCCTAAAGCCAGTGGGGAGAGGTTGACTCTGCCTGGGGAAGGGGTTTTCTGCCCAAATCGGTGCAGTTTCTGGACTTTTTCCTTCGGAAATGCGTTAGACCTGCATTGGGGATCTCAAACTACTCTCTGCTTGAGTTTTCCCATTATTCAAATTGGGTAATTCCTGTCTTGCCAAGGAGTTGTGAAGCCCAATATAACCTTGTGAACTAGAAGCTACACATGTGAGTTGGAATTTTATGGCCCCCAATCCCCTCTCTAGTTGCCTAGGGTGGAGTCTAAGCTAATTTTACTGGAGGTTAGAAAGAACTTCTCCCAGCACTAGTTAAATCCCATAGTTCTCCTTTTAGCTTCAGATTCTTTCATTAACCACAAGTTTGGGGGGTTATGGGGAGGGTAAAAGGGAGGGTTATGGGGAGGACGGGGTAGGTAATAGGTGAGGAGGAAAGGCTGGCTACAACCTTATTCTGCCTCAGAAATGACATCTGAGCTGAGTTTTAATGGATAAACAGTTCTTCCAGGAACCAAGGAATATTCTGGAATAACTGATCAGTATTTTTAAAAGAAGGGAAGCAAAGTCTAAGTTTCTTGCCCTGGCCAGTTTGGCTCAGCGGTTGAGCGTCGGCCTAGGGACCAGAGAGTCCCTGGGTTCGGTTCCCACCAGGGGCACATACCACACACACAAAAAAAGTCTAAGTTTCTACCTCAAAAAGAAAAGCCAAGTAAAACCAAAGCAAGAAGATAGGAGGAAATAATAAAGAGCAAAATTCAATGAAACGTAGACAGACAATAAAGAAACTCTAACCAAAAGCTAGTTCTTTGAAAAGATAAATAAGATTGACCTAGCAAGACTGGCTAAAAAGAGAACAAGAGAAAGAAGACTCAAATTATGATTATTAGAAATGAAAGCAGGGATAGCACTAAAGATCCCTCATACACTAAAAGATACTAAGAGAATAATACAAACAACTCTACATACATAAATTTGACAATTTAGATGAAATGGACCAATTCCTAGAAAACCACAACAGGCCCGGCCTGTGTGGCTCAGTGGTTGAGCGTTGACTCATGCACCAAGAAACTGCCGGTTCGATTCCTGGTCACGGCACATGGGTTGGGGCACATGCCCAGGTTGTGGGCCTGATCCCCAGTGCAGGGCATGCAAGAGGCGGCCAATCAGTATTCTCTCTCATCAGTGTTTCTATCTCTCTCTCCCTCTCTCTTCCTCTCTCTCTAAAAAATCAATAAAGAAAAAAAAAGAAAACTACAACCAACCAAACTCATCCAAGGTGAAACAAATAATCTGAATAGTCCTATAACTATTAAAATTAATTAATAGCTTTAAGAAAAACCTTTAGAAAAAGAAATATCTGTAGGCCCAGATGGTTTCACTGGTGAATTCTACCAAAGGAAGAAATAACACAAATTTTACACAATCTCTTCCAGAAAACAGAGTAGGAAAGAACATTTTCCAACTAATTTTATGAGGTCAAAACCAGACAAATACAAAAGAAGAAAACCACAGACTGATATCTCTCATGAACAAAGATGCAAAAATCCTCAACAAAATGTTAGTAAATTGAATCTAACAGTAGTCCCCCTTTATCCACGGTTTCACTTTCCATGGTTTCAGTTACCCTTGGTCAACTGGAGTCTGAAAATATTACATGGAATATTCCAGAAATAATTCATAAGTTTTAAATTTCACACTGTTCTGAATAGTGTGATGAACTCTCACCTTCCTGCTCTCTAGGGATGTGACTCATCCCTTTGTCCAGTATATCCACACTGTATACACTACCCACCCATTAATCACTTAGGAACCATCTTGGTTATCAGATCAACTGTCGAGGTATTGTAGTACTTGTGTTCAAGTAATCCTTATTTACTTTATGTCCCCAAAGAGCACGAGTAGTGAGGCTGGCAATTCAGACATGCCAAAGTTATTTATGTATAAGAAAAATACAGTATATATAGGTTTGGTACTATCTGTGTTTAGGTAACCACTTGCGTCTTGGAATGTATCCCAGCAGATAAGCAGTGACTACTGTATATGAAAAGAATTATAGCCCAGCTGGTGTGGCTCAGTGGCTGAGCGTCGACCCATGCACCAAGAGGTAGCCGGTTCAGTTCCCAGTCAGGACTCATGCCCAGGTTGTGGGCCAAATCCCCAGTGCGGGGCATGCAGGAGGTGGCCAATTGATGTTCTCTCTAATTGATGTTTCTCTCTCTCTTTCCCTCTCCCTTCCTTTCTCTCTAAAAATCAATAAAGGAAGAAAAACTAAAAAAAAAAAAAAAAAAAAAATAGTGTAAAAGCAATTTATTATTGTTTTGTTGTTATCCTCACCCAAGGACATTTTTCCATTTTTTGTTCAGATAGAGTGGGAGGGGGAGAGAGGAAGAGAGAGAGAGAGAGAGAGAGAGAGAGAAACATCGACGTGAAAGGGACACATCAAATGGCTGCCACCCGCATGACCAACCAGGGCCAGGGACAAACTGCAACCAAGGTATGCGTCCCTTAGCGGGAACCGAACCCGGGTCTCTCCGGACCACAGGCCGATGCTCTAACTGCTGAGCCAAACTGGCCAGGGCATAAAAGCAGTTTAATGGGGGAAGAATCAGTCTTTGCAGCAAGTGGTGTTAAAGCAATTGGATAAATAGGCAAAGAACTAAACTTAAGCCCTATGAAAAAAATTAACACAAGCCCTGGCCGGTTTGGCTCAGCGGTTGGAGCGTCAGCCTGCGGTCCGGAGAGACCCGGGTTCGGTTCCCGCTAAGGGCATGTACTCGGTTGCAGTTTGTCCCCGGCCCTGGTCGGTTGTGCGGGTGGCAGCCACTCGATGTGTCCCTTTCACATCGATGTTTCCCTCTCTCTCTCTCTTCCTCTCTCTCCCTCCCACTCTATCTGTACAAAAAATGGAAAAATGTCCTCGGGTGAGGATAAAAAAAAAAAAAAAATTAACACAAAATGGGTGATAGATTTAAATATAAAATGTAAACTATAAACCTTTCAGAATAAAACATAAGAAACACAGGAAAACATCTTCATGACATAGAGTCAGGTGAAGAGTTCTTTGACACAACTCCTAAAGCACAACCTATTAAAAAAATTGATAAATTGTACTTCATCAAAATTAAAAGCTTTTACTCTGTGAAAGACCACATTAATAGGATGAAAAGAGAAGCTGCAGACCAGGAGAAATATTTTCAAATTATATATCTGACAAAGGACTTATATCCAGAATATACAAAGAACTCTCTAAACTCAAGAGTTAGAGAACAACTCAATTAGAAAATAGGCAAAAGTCTTGAACAGATATTTTGCCAAGAGGGTATCAGGATGCCAAGTAAACTCATAAGATGTTCAATATCATTAACATCATATCATTAAAACCATGATGACTACTACACACCTATCAGAATATCCAAAATAAAAAACACTGACACTACCAAGTGCTGACAAGAATGCAGAGAAACTTGTCCTACACATGTACAGACCTCTCATACACGGTTTGTGGAAATGTTAAATGGTACAGCCACTTTGGAAAACAGTTTGTTAGTTTCTTATTAAAACTAAACATACTCGCCCCGGCCGGTTTGGCTCAGCAGTTGGAGTGTCAGCCCGCGGACCGGAGAGTCCCAGGTTCAGTTCTCACTAAGGGCATGTGCCTTGATTGCAGTTTGTTCCCGGTCCTGGTTGGGGTTGTGTGGGTGGCAACCAGTCGATGTCTCTCTCTCACATCGATGTTTCTCTCTCTCTCTTCCTCCCTCTCCCCCTTCTGCTCTATCTGAAAATAAATGCAAACAATGTCCTCGGGTGAGGAAAAATAAATAAAACTAAAACTAAACATATATTCATCATATGACCCAGCAAGAACACTCCTGAACATTTAAAACTTGTCCATAGCAGTTTTATTTGTAATAACCCAAACTGGAAACAACCCAGGTGTCTGTCAGCAGGTGAATAGTTAAACAAACTGTGGAATATCCACACCATGGAATATTACTCAGCAATAAAGGTGGGATCAAGGAGCCCTGTTACATGGTTGGAATACTGGTTACATCACAGAATACTGTGCTAAGCAGCTCATAGTTAGTATGGAAGGCAAACAAGATGTGCAAGATAGTATGACTAGTGAAGAGAATGTATAGGATTTGGTAGATCCCCAAGGGCGGAATAGCCAATACAACTTTGGGGGAAGC